ATATATATATATATATATATTTTTTTTTGCCTAGACATTCACTTTGAGAAACCAGCAATTGCAACATTTATATTGGTCTTAGCTTAGGTTATCTTTAAAGCAAAGAGCTTTGGTCAAAAGCAGCACTGGAAAAGGAAGAGTTATCATTCCGTACAGTTACTGCGCATGAGCATGTAGTTTGCCTATGCATAGCAAAGCAACATATTTACCTAACTGCTGCCCTCACCAGCATCATTACTTTACTTTCCTTTGCTCCTACTGGAGATAAGAGAAATGGCCAGTACGTTTGGCTACAGTTAGCATGCCCTCCACTGTGGCAGCATTGTTGCTTGGGGGGTGAAGAGAGTTGAGTCCTGTGCTCCATTTTGCAACTTTGGAGCTTAAAAACATTGATACGTGTAGTCCCTCCCAGTCAGGGAAGCGAGGGGCAGGCAAATATGTGCACCTAAAAAGGCCGGTAGTTAAAGAGGATCTTTACCTATATCATCAAAATAATAAAAAGGCACCTTTAGAAATGTTAAGTAATGACAATCTACAAACACATACTTCTAGATAATTGCTGGCTTTTTATGCTTTGCATACATTGTTTTTCTTTTACTCTTCATTCTTCGCACAGTGGCCATTTTAACTAAGGGCAGATTGCTAGATCTCCTTTACTTCCTGGAACTCTGGCACATGTGAACATGCACATCATCTCAGGGAAGGAAAATGCATTTCCCTGAGATCTCGTGAGATTACAGATGAGATTTCACAGCAATGTTCTGCTGATGTAACCTTCCCAGGATGCAATGCTTGGGAACAATTACATAATTTGTACCAAAGAGAACCAGGAAGTAGAAAAGACATTGTAAGCAAAATAAAAATGTTTGTTTAATGAATGCATGACGATTTCATATTAGCATGCAGATCTGCACACTGATGTGATATTTTAGTGAAAGAGGGTAAAGGTCCACTTTAAGTGAAAGTGTTCTGCCTTGCATGGGCAAAGCATGTGTAATTAGTAGGTGGTATTCTAGTATTGCTGAAATTAGAATGTTGCTTTGGCAAAAGGTGACTTGCTAAATTAGTTTTAAAAAAAAGCCATCTTACACTTTTGAGCCAAGTGTGGTCATTGCAGTTTGAATAAGCGGATCAATATTATTGGGATCCACAGGAAAACTGTCACTGATCTTATCCAAATTCTCAATAGCGATTCTTGCAGCTTGCTCATATCCATCTGAAATTCTTATAGGATGAATACCACGATCCAGCAATTGCTCAGCTTGTTCTAGTAAAGCACCTGCAAGAACTAAAAACAGAATTCACATAAGTTAAAACGCACAGGAAAATATATTTTATATAAACCTAATAATTCACAGGGGGAGGAGGAGGGGGAAAGGAGCGGTGTTATATAGCGGGTGTCACACCTAAATTAAGATAGAAAAGAAAAAAAGTTAGGAAGGGTGGGGTTTTTTTAGGCACTCTTAAGCGATGATTCACAAAAATGTTTTTATATCATATGTATAAAATGTAATTAAATACATGATTAAAAAAAGTAAATCACAAGGTAGCAGAAGAGAGCAAAAAGGGAGTAGAAACACCTCCAATATCCACCAATGCCCTTAGTGTTAATTGGTTAAGACCAAGTTAACATAATTAGTTTAGCTAGTTCATTAGTAGGTCTCAACTCCCACAATATGGTTGACACACTTCAATTGGCTAGCCGGCTAATCTGTAGCTATTCGTTGGAGTTTAAATATTGAAGAAACCGAGAGGATTTAGCTTTATAGGCATTTAACATCATCCGTTAGATATGGATTCAGTGTATCGCCATCTGTGGCAAGCTGTTATTAGTTCAACATGATTATATAACACTCGCCGTGGTTTTGGATTGCCGTCCTATTATCGTCGATTGATATGCATCAACCATTAACAAATAGGGTTAACATTCTACATTATTTAAAAAATATAATATGGTTTCTTAGCTTTGACTCAGGGAGATAGGGTTAGTCAAAGCTTAGGGCTGAGTCAAAGCTAAAGAAAGCTAAGAAACCATACCTGACATTTTTTAAATCATGTATTTAGTAAAATGTATACATTTTATATAAAAACATTTTTGTGAATCATCGCTTAGACTGCCTAAAAAAACACCACCCTTCCAAACATTTTCTTTCCCAATATAGACCTAAACGTTTACCCAACATATTTAGAAACAAAGAAAAAGGCAGCTTTGCAGATCAATTAATTCAATCTCATGCACCGCAGCACTTTAGCTGTACTCCGCAGGCTGAGAGGAAAGCCAGCAGATAGTCAGGACTTTATTGCTTTTGCACAGTGCTGTCGGTGAACAGTTTCAACAAAAGAGCATATTAGAGTGTATGTAAACTCAAAGAACATTGTATTTGGCTCACATTTGTTCTGTTAAATATAAAATTAAGTTGTTAGATCTGTTTGGCAAGTGCAAAATATACCTGTAGAACCTGCCAGAAATGGAGAGCTGTCCTGTGAACTCTGCAGTATTATCTAAAGCAGTCTTATGATCCTTGCCCACATTACAGCTGAAATACAGTACACTTCCTATGATATGGAGATGTAGATAGATTGAAGGAGGTGTTCTTTAGTCAAACACTTGACCTAGGTTGATAAAGCTGCTCCTCCATTGATACAGTACAGTTACTAAGTGTTGCTACCCTGGGACAGAAGTATTAAGGACAAGATCACAAAAAGAAAAACAAGCCTGGAAAAACTAAAGTAAATTTAGTGCACCTCCTTCTAAATACTCCATGCCTGCTCATATTTTATTCAGCACACACACACACACACACACACACACACGTTTATGATCACTAATCTAGACCACTGAATAGCCCAAGTGTTTTGGGGGCTGAGACAGGGCCAACTAATCGGAAGCCGATTAATTGAAGATTGAAAAAGTTGACAATAAAATCGATTATAGTCGATTTGTTGCAGCCCTATCCGCCGCTGTACTCTTCCTTGCTCAGGAGATATTGCACCTCGCTGATCTTTAGCTCCCAGTTTCCCCAGTCACTAGTCGAGAGACTGTAGTGTAGGGTGAAAAACTGAGAAACGGTGCAAGATGCCCTCCCCCAGACATTCTGACTGCACAACCCAGCAGGGGTTCAGCTGCTAAAGAGCCCCGGTAAGCCATAGCAGGGGCCTGGACAGACGCAGAAGAATATCATTGTCCTGAGCTCCTTGGAGTACAAAGGGAGCTAACGAAGGGCGGTGCTGACGATCTTTTAATAAACAGGTTACCCAGAATAACACACTTAAACATAACCCATCACCAATACACAACCCATAAACTGATGACCATGTCGTCACAGTCCGGTCATGCTGACTGGTGAAATTTTTGACTGACTGATACACCCTATAATTTTTCGAGCCCTGAAAATGAGATTCATATAATTTGGATTTCTGGATATGTGTTGCCATGATCAATGCTGGTCTCCATCTTATGGTTTTGTATATTCTTTTGATCTTTGTGAGCAGGAGGTGCTGCTTGATAGTGTCCCACAGTCTCCTCCCTTTGTGTGTTGGCCCCCTGCAGCCCCTCCCAAAGGGGACTTGGCATCTAACCCCAGTGTTTTTACAAATATTGAATCAGATCCAGCTTGTTTCACAGTAGGCCAAAACCTTTACACATTTATAATATATCTTGACCTTTTGATTGTTATTATTGATTTTGATTAGGTATATACAGTATTTATATGTTGTATAGTTAGATATGTCCTCCTGAGAAAGCCCCAAGAGGTTATTGAACAATATGAAAATACATCATTAATGTGACAGCTTTTTGATAGTGACAAAAACAATGGCTGTAATTACCAGCACAAACAGTGGTTTTAATAAATGTTTTATTGCACCTTTTTAAATTAATTTGTAATAAAAAATGTAAACATGTAAAAAATGTGTTTCTTTTGTTTGGTCTGGCACATTGATTTAAAAGCCCCCCATTTCAATGAGATAGGAAAAAGGTGTATACATATCCTGTTTTTCCTGTATTCATTTGAGAGGGGTGCAGCCGACAAGACCTCTCCCCACTGATCATTGTGTTTTCACAATAGTATAGTTTTGCAATAACACATGCTCGATATGCAAAGCAGCCATCAATCATCAAAATGAAAAACTAGTACCTGTAGCACCCCTCACATGCCAGAGCCGTGGCCCTCTCCCTGCGTTCCTCCCTCACACCAGCCACCCTCCCAGTCATGTATGCCCACCTGATCTACCAAGGCTGTCAGCAGGCAGGGGGGAAGCAGCCACAGCACAGTGTACACATGCCGCAAAATGCACGTTCCCCTCCAGAAGAGCCACAGCACAGGAAGAGGAAAAGTCCCTTTCAGTGCACCAGAATGGATCCTCCTACTAGAAAGGGCAGGCGTAAGTGGTGCAGTACTGGCCAAAGGGCAGTAGACAAAGATGTCGGCCACAGCCCCGGTCTTATGTGCGGCCTTCCCCTAGAAAACTAGCTGTGCAGCCACATACAAGAGGGGACAATAACTTTGTCTTCATTGGGGTCTTTGGTACAGGCCCACGGCTATAATGAAGCAGATACCAGGTCCTGACCGCGGGAGCTACATCCTAGACAGCAAGCCATGGCCTAAATTAGCAGCTGAAAATGAGCGGCGCTCGCAAAAAACTGTGGTGCCACCCTCCCACTATAATCCAGGCCCCGGACGCTATGCCCCGTGTCATGGAGGGCTGACACAGGACCGCCATACAAGCCACCAGCCCTATACATAACCACCAGCGGAGAAGCAGGGAGGAGATCCTTAAAAAGGCACCGCCACCAACGCACATGGTGGCCAACGCCAAGTAGTTAGCAGCTCACCCAAGGTCCCCCAACAAAGCGAATTGCCTCTGGCCGGGCACTGCTCGCCTGAATAAGGTACTGTGACTGGGAAGCCAAAACCCCAGGTCATATACGCCATCAAGAGAAGTCTTGCAGGCTTCCCTGATGACAGAGCCGTCACAGCCGATCCTGCCGTGATAGGATCTGCATGCGCTCACTGGCAGGGATGGGTAGGAGGACAACAAGGATCTAGATCATCCAGTGCGTCACATAGCCAGCAGTTGCTTGAAGATTAACCGAAAAAGTATATTGCAACTCCGGTTTAATGGCTGAAGGAAACACTGGTTTGTATTAGCAGCTGCCAAGATGGCAGTACTGCTGCAGGGACAATGGGGCTGTAAGAGTGCAAACCAAGTGGTAAGTTTTCCCATAATGTGCAAGCACACAGATGGTTCTACCACGGCACCAGGGTTAAACAGATCAAGCAGATAAATATATTTTTAATGGTATATTTCAGACCTAAAAAAAGAATATTCAGGGAATACCGAAAAACAAAAACAAAAAGGGAAGATGTAAACCTCCAACCCTCAGAGATGAAGGCTTTTCTGCAAAACTACACCACATGCAGTTCAGCACTTGCGTGAAAATTTTTTAAAGGATTTAGGTTCTTGTAAGAACAAACTAACTCTACTTTATCATCTCTAATATACGGGGTTTTCCTCCTGCTTTTTAACCACACCATTCATATGCAGACTAAAGCTGCAGTTAGGAAGTACATATACAAATTCAATTTTTTTCCTGATTCAAATGTAGATTTTTTTATAGACTTACCAACAACTCCAGTGGTCCCATCTCCAATTTCATCATCTTGAGATTTGGATAGTTCTACCATGAGCTTGGCTATTTGATGATCAACATCCATCATACTAAGAATTGTGGCTCCATCATTAGTTACTGTAACCTGACCATCCTTATCCACCATCATTTTGTCAAGTCCTACAAATAAAAAAAGCAAGGTTACCACTTTTTAAAGGAGGGGAAAAAAAAAATAATAATTTACATTAAAAAGCATGGGGAAAGGTTAGACAATGTCAGATTTTTATTGTTTCCTATATGCCCATTAGTGAGAAATCACTTCACTTCTTGCTCTGGAACAATGACAACGAGATAGAAGAAAAACACCCCCAAGTAAGAATCCCACCTTTGAGAGTGGTCATTGGAACAGGTGTTTCCACCACAAGGCCCCTTTCACACGGGCTGATCAGGATTGAAGCAGTACAGATCGGATGTCACCACATTGACATACATGTCAATAACGCAATCTTGCGATAGAGGAAACAAACTTACCAGTAACTCCATTTCCAATAGTCTTCCAGGACAGCATGTGAGAGGTACCTCCCTTGAAAAAGGAAACACACCACCATAGAATTTAAAAGGCCTCTCAGGATGCTCCTCAGTAGATTTGAGATCTGAAACAACCAGGTCCTCAGGCTTGGAAGATTTGAGAAACCCCCTCGGTGACTGACACAGTAGAGGGGGTAGGCATAGTAGGGCTAAGGGTTGGAGCCCAAAAATGATCCAAAAGTGAAATATGGATGCCAAATCTTTAACTGAAGACAAGAGGCTGCTACATGCAGAAGCCGAGTCTTCCTTAAGAATTCTTCCTATACAAGAGTAGCAGAGAGGCTTGGTATGGGCAGGATAAAGCTTCATTCCACATACAGCACACTTTTGGATTTTTTTTTCTGGGGCTTTGGCCTGTAGAAAAAAATAAATTAGGGGGTTCCAAATCAACCCGGGAGGAATATTTAACCAAGGGGTCCAGGTGAAGAGCAGGAAGGCTGAGCATCAGGGCAGAGAGAGAGAATATTGAAGTCACTCTCTTACCTGAGCTTGCTTGGAAACTGACGTGCCTGCATCCAGCCCCAACTGTGCTGCCTGGGAAGACTCCGTAGCAGACAGCGTGCAATTTGGCGTTCTTGCAGCCACTGCTGAAGAATATGAAGCCAGGAAGTTCCAGCTAGGCCCTCCCCTTCCCCTGCACCGAAAACGAGGCCTGGAACGCAAGACATCCGGCACCCGGAAGTGACGCAATTCCACCAGCGAGTCAGGCCATGGACAACGTCCCAAGACTACTGCGAGGTACTGACCAGCCGACTCACCCAGTCTGTACCCCTGTCAGTCTATGGGGAACCATATGTAGACGGACATGTTTACATCAGATAACCTCCGATCCAACACAATCAGATCCATCGAAACAGGACACTGCTCAGTTAGTTTTTCTGGGCCTGGCCGGAGTTGGGGGTAACCAGGCGTAAACAGGTACCCATCTGTTTACACACAATATTCAATATTCTTTCTATCCTCTGATGCTCCGACTGTCCAGACTAGCATTGGGCATCTAAATCATGTACACCTGAAAAACTGACAGGCCAAATCAGACCAACCGTGTGAAAGGGGCCTAAGATTTTTGCCTTATCTCTGGTTTAATAATCAACAGTGAAAATCACACCTCAGTGGGAAGACAGCAATAAAAAGAAAAGGAGGTAATATGTTTCACACAATATCATGTTCATAGCTGTAGTCCATTTTGACAAATAATGGAATCTGTATGCAAATGAAGTCCTAAAATGTCATGTCTTGACAGACCGATTCAGCCATCACCAGCGGGTAGGAGAACAGAGGAGCAGAGCGGCGACAACTAATCGATGAGAATAGTTGTCAACAATTCTCATTGATTATAATTAGTTGTTGCAGCCCTAAACATTTCCACTATTATGCTTAATTGTTAAGAGCAGGTGGTAGGTAAACTCCGGCCCTCCAGCTGTGGTGAAACTACAAATCCCATCATGCATTTGCCCCTGGGAGTCATACCTGTGGTTGTCATTCTTGAAATGCCTAATGGGATTTGTAGCTGTATCACAGCTGGAGAGCAGGGGTTTGCCTACCTGTTATAGAGTTTCTTCTGAAATCCTGTATTCGGTTTGTGGCAAACCTCTCCATTGTTACCGTGACCAAGCAACTATCTTTGATTCATCAGCCCAAGGCACATTTTTCCCAGAAGACCTGGCCTTTGTTTAAAATGATACTCAAATGCTCTTGCACAGCAAATATTTTTTCTTAACCTCTCAAGCAGGTTGAATTTGAGCAATCTCTTTCTGATTGTAGATGCACGCACCTGGACCAACTGAAGATTCAACAGTGAAGCTTTGGGGTTCTTGGAGATTTTTCAATAACAGTCTGCTCTTGGGTTGAATTTGCTGGACTGGCCAGTCCTGGACAAATTAGCAGTTGTTTGAAATCCACGGCACTTGTACATTATTTTACTTATGGGAATAATGGATTGCAAATCATTTGGCAATGTTTCATTTTATGAATTGATATTTATATACACGTTGACAATTTACACAGTGCTTTACATAGTTAACCCCTTCATGACTGAGGCCTTTTTTTCATTTTTGCACCCATGTTATATTCCACATTTTAGGCCTGAAAATGACTTAAAACCCCCAAACATTATATATGTTCTGAATGCCAAGACCCTATAGAATAAAATGGTGGTAGTTGCAAATTTTTATGTTGTGCAATATTAGCGCAACTCCTTATTAAACCCCAACATTTAGGGAAAAATTTAATTACATGCCCCAAAACACAACAAAGATGAGGTTACAACGAGTAAAACGATACCCAACATGCCCAGGTTACAAATTGCGTGCGTCCGTGAAACAGCGAAAAACTGCAGTACCCCAAAAAGTCCATAGAAGACGCTTTAAAAGCCCCCCACAGGTCATCAATTTAGAGATACCCAAAATACTGGCCCTAGAATTATTGCTCTCACTCCGGCATGCGCGGCGATACCCAACATGTGTAGTGCGTTCGTCGTTTTCATACGTAGGCGCACCCGACGCGTGTTTATGTGGCGACGCGCGTTCTCACTGGGGCGGGGGACTTTTACATTTTTTTTATTAGATTTTTTTTTTTTTAAAAAATTTTTTAACTTTACTTTGACTGCTATCACATTGTTTTTTCCATTTCCCTAAAAAATCTGTCATTATGCAAGCGTTCCGCCGGGATTACCTTTTCCCTTAATCCTCGTGGGATCATACCCCATACCCCTATAAATGACTGATTTGAATGAAGTGGCGGTCAATCACCCTACACACTAAACACACAGAGGATTGAATCTGTGATTACACAGGTGTGAATGAGTAATTTAAACATCCGTTTCTTCCCCACACCCATCAAGTCCTGACGAAGCGACTAGACATGTGTGCGGTATGAGTCTGTGGACACGGACACCCACACACCACACACACACACGAATCCTTAAAAGTTTTAGTTAGGCTGTACTTCTCAGCCTAACTAAAACCTAACATTTTAATCTTTTTTTCTCTAAAAGCTAAAGCTAAAAGTGTTCACCTGGCATACAATGTCACTGTCACTAAGTGATAGCGACATATTTTAAACATCACTGTCATGAGGTGCCTAAATTAAAAATTAACCCCTTCGGGTAAAAAACAAATCTGCAGCTCAGCTACAGATTCATTGTAATGGGTTAATCTTTATATTACTTATAGTATAAAAAAATATCATTGTTTTTTTTTTGCACTATTCACTTTTGAACATAACATTTTCATTATTTATTTAAATATATCAAGCAATCATAGTGAATTCATCTTACTATTACTGCTTGATTTAATAAATTTGTGATTAGGCTGCTTCAAACTTAACACCCAATAATAACATTAGGGACACTGAATCATTAGGGACACTGAAGCATTTCAGTGTCAGATGTCAGCAAAGGTTTTCTGTAGGGATGCACAGATATAGCGGCAGAAAAATTGCACTTTTCTGCCGATACAGTGGCGCATCCCTGGTTTCTTCCCTCCCCGCTGGGCGCTGCTCTGTGTCCCAGTGGGGAGGAGAGAAACTGACAGCCAGCCGAGCGGGAGGAGAGCCCTGTGAGCAGCCGGCATCTCTCCTTCCACACCGCTAAGCCTCCTATCACAGTCCAGCAGAGCGGTGTGAGGGAAGAGACAGCACGCGCTGTCACAGGAGGCGGGGCAGGGAGGAGAGCCAATGCACTCAGCGATCGCTGAGTGTTTGTACATAATTGACAAAAAGTATGGTTACTAGATCCTCAATTATGAATGGGAAGCTGCTGCTATCTCCAAGTTATGAATGAACAGGAACACTCAGTATAGAGGATTCCTGTTAATTGATAACAGGGGCTGCAGAAAAAGAGATTGAGGACAGAGTCCTCGATCTCCTTTTCCATTTTAAAAATGGAAATATCAGGGGTCTGTTTAGACCCCCAATATTTCCCCCGAAGCCTCTAAAAAGTAAAAAAATTTAAATATTTAATTAAAAAAAAATATAAAAGTTGAAAAGTTTAAAAAGTAAAAAATTTTCAAACATTTCAAGAAAAAACGTTTTCGGTTTCAGCCTAACAATTTTTTTATTTCGGTTTTGAAATTTCTATTTCGGTGCACCTCTAGTTTCCTGATCGTTCCAACAACGATCAGAAACCTGCAACATTCTTTGAGCAATATAAACCTGCATCTAAATGTTTCCATTGCTGAAAGTTTAGAAGAAAAAAAAAAAAGCTGGTATACATAAGGATTTCCCGATCTAGACCAGCTGTCAGTAACGGCTAGAGCTGCAAATGCAGCTTTGCTCTCACTGCCAGAAGACACCCAATTCTCAGCAGTTACCAGCCTTACAGAGAATATTTCCCCCGAAGCCTCTAAAAAGTAAAAAAATTTAAATATTTAATTAAAAAAAAATATAAAAGTTGAAAAGTTTAAAAAGTAAAAAATTTTCAAACATTTCAAGAAAAAACGTTTTCGGTTTCAGCCTAACAATTTTTTTATTTCGGTTTTGAAATTTCTATTTCGGTGCACCTCTAGTTTCCTGATCGTTCCAACAACGATCAGAAACCTGCAACATTCTTTGAGCAATATAAACCTGCATCTAAATGTTTCCATTGCTGAAAG